TTGCTAAGCAAGAGCATTGTTAAGTTTCACCACATTTTACAAGTTGGCCACACCCACCCAGTCACATGACTGCCAAGCCACTACTACTCGGTCACATTGCTGGCAAGCCACTCCCACCTGGCCACATGGCTGGCAAGCCATTCCTACAAAGCAGGCCACGCCTACAGAAGAGGTTCTAAAAAAAATTTGAAACCCACCACTGCTACAGGGCAACAGTGTTAAGTAATAATATATTATTATTTTATCTCCCACAGTATATTCATCGGTTACACTTTCATTGTTTCCCCAAAGCCAAGCAAATATATGGCTGTTTGATGATACAGTTTTAATCACTGGGAAACTATCTGGTAAGTAAGAACAAAACATACCTATGTTTGCAAACAATTTTCTCTTAAGATATAACCATGTGGTGAAGTCAGTAAAGTTCCAGATTATGTTTTTCAGTATGGGCTGCAAACAATAAATGCAAAGAGTTAGAGCTATTTGAATTATTTTATATTTTAGTAAAACAACAAACGCAGACTTGTATTGAATGCTTAATTTGCTAATTCGTGTTAGTGGATTTATTGGATGGCCAGAAGATGCACGTCTTTTCAGGCCTAAAGTTTATCCTCTTAGCAGCTCAATAATGGAGGTTAAGTTGAGAGGAAGTGACTATTTCAAACACAAAAGAGATGACCCCGACCCTAGTCCCACATTCTTCTATCACAACATCATACTCATTTTAATGTAATTCTAGAATAGGTTCTCTCCAGCACTAAAAAAAGGGTGGGTTGTATTGTTTCAGTTCAGTGGTAACCCACAATGAATAGTTTATAGAATTGCTGGAGTTTATGCCCCTGTTTGTATTTGTATTGAAGATGGACATTGTCTTCTTGAAGGATCTCTCCATGCTACATGTGGCAAGAGAGGAAAAAGCTGACTGAAAGCCGCTTTCACACATTTTTATCAACACCTCTCCCTTTCCATTCCTCTGTCTAATGAGGAAATGTTAATGGGTCACTGCACACAAATTAAATCCAATCTAATCCAGTTTCCACAGACTTGCTGTCTAAAATGCAGGATTAAAAAATAAAGAGATACCGAGGAGAAAAAATAATGAAAGGCTGTTGTTATTGCTGTTTTATCAACAGCTGAAATCCACCTGATATTCTTTCAACTGCATCTTGTTTGTTAAGTAAAAGTGACTTAACCATTGCTACCTTTTCTATTTTTCATTTTTTAAAATGATGTTTTCCAAGTTTGGTTATATTTTTAGAAAGATTTATAAGCTCTGTTTGTATTGCCTTAGTAATTGAGTACTGCATACATCGTTGCTTTGTCTTTTATGATATCTCATTTTTCTAATGTTAGCTTTCATGTAGCATATTTCCAGAATATTTGCAAGTATATGTAATTGGTTGGAAAGAGTTTTTTTAAAAAGTATTCCTTTTTTTCTTTCTTTTTTAACATGACGGTGCCATGTCAGGATAACAATTACAAATAAAGCAAAGCCAAAGAAAAGTCAATAGTAAATCTTAACACACAAGCTAATAACTATAACATTAATATAATAACAGCAATTATAGTAATATGACCAAAAAGAAAAAGAGCTTTAACTAAATTTCTCACATTAGCCTATTTACAATTTCTCCCATACTATAGTCATAGTTTTATACATCTTTATTTTCCATACTAACAATTATTGGCATTCGTAAACTTATTTTCCCTTTCATTTCTACCTCTTTTCTCTATCCATTCATAAAATATATTCCATGTCCAATAATATTTTGAATCTTCTTTATCTTTAATTTTTAAAGTTAATCTATCCATTTCAGCACAATCCCAAATTTTCCTAATTATATCCTCATCTGATGGGGTGTTCACATTTTTCCAATATTTGGCATATATAATTCTTGCTGCCATCAATATATGTAGCACTAAATATATGGTTGCTTTGTCATAACTTTCCGATAGTATACCTAAAAGGTATGTTTCTGGTTTGAATTCAGTATGTTGCTCAGTATCATTTCCAACCAATTACGAATTTTCTCCAAGTAAATCCTTCCTTCCCTACACTTCCACTACACGTGGTAGTATGTTCCTAGGATCTGGTTACATTTCCAGCATTTGGTGGAGTAATTCTTATACATTTTTGGCCAATTTTGCAGGCAGCAAATGCCACCTATAAAGCATTTTGTAGAGTTTTTCTTTATAGGCCGTGGTCATAGTCAGTTTGTAGTATTTCTTATTTGGTCATATGATTATTTAAGCAAAGCTTTACTAAATTCCTGGTTTAAAATGTTAATTATTTTTCAGAGGCGAAATCTCAGCCAAGTGTTCAGTTTCCAAAATACTTAATTAAACTTCCTGTGAACCACCATATCACTAATGTAACAGCGTATCTTACAGTGCCGCAGCAGTTTTTAAAAGTGGAGCATTTCTTCTATACAACAGGAATTCTTTTAAATAAATCAGGTAAGTCAGACTGATCATTAATTCTTGAGGTTTTATCATTCTTACCTCATGTTTAAAAGCTCCGTGCCAATATTCATCCCCTTATAGTGGGCTTTGAATGTAACCACCTAGATGAGTAATGGTTGACTGAAATATTTAGCAGACCTAAGGAGCCATTAGCCTTGAGACTTATAAGTTGATAAAACTATGTAGTGATGATATGCTTTACATTACAGATGTGCTGCAGTTCCAAAGACAAAATGTCCAGCATTCCTTACTTGAAATTTTATGTTTATTTTTCATTTTACTGAAATAGATATACAGCATCAATAGGAGAAAATGACAAAGATGATTAAGTAGGACAGTGAAAAAATAAACCAAAAATAGAAGAAAGGAAATGTATATTAATTTGAAAATAGATCATGGATGCATATATTATTTGAAGGAGAGGTTTTAGGCATCTGTACTCAATATTTCTGCTACAGAGAAATATAATCTATACTTTGTTAATGTAGCGAAATAAGGAAGGAAAATGTGAATAAAATTATTTTTAATTAAAATATTACTCAAAATTTCTGTGGTTTGGTTTTTTCTTAAACCATTTATCTAGAAAAAAAACCTATCTTAGTTTTATATGTTTTTGAAATAGTAACATTAGCCAATAGGAAAGATTATTGCATAATTAACATATTAATGACTACCATTTTGCAGGAAATATAGATAGTCCTCAGTGTACAACTATTCATGAAGCTACAACAAATTTTGCACATTCAAATTAACACGTAGTATTGTTAACTGGTATGTGCTGATTAGTTTCTAGTTGCAGTTGCAGCATTGGAACTTAAACAACAAACTTAATTTCTAAACAATCAGAATTGATACTGACTGAGGATCATGGTAGATATGTGGCGGGTGAAACTACTTTACATGAGTCCCAGATTTTGATGATGAGAATTTATGCTCCAAATGAAGATGAAGTTACCTTTTACAAAGAACTTATGAATAAATCAATGGACTTGCCATATGAAAGTGGATACTTAATGGGAAAATGGAATGGAGCAATTTATTTACAAAAAGACAGAACCTCTGAAAAAGAGATTAAAACAACACAAGGGAAACCATCAAAAGTTCTTTTTAACAAGGTAGACAATTTACATGCCTGGAGACGCAAAAATGGTGATGCACAAAATATACTTATTTTTTGACAAACACCAATCTTTTTAAAAGAATTGATATGTTTCGGGGTATCTAAGAATTTGGCTATGACATGTTTGTAAATGAAAAATCAAATTCAGAGAACCACTATATATCCAACAATTCTAACATTAGCAGTTCTAAGAAATAGCTTTGAATTTTGGAGAGAAGGTTTTCAGGTATTCACAAAAGTTCAGTACCTCCTTCTTTGTTAAATACCTGGAAGTCATTATGAATTCATTAATGAGTATAGTAATAATGAAGTTTAATATCAGCCATGAGCAGGTGGATCTTGGGTGGTTGAATACAGGGAGCTGAACACAGCTGGAATTAATAATATATGACTCCCCCTTTTACATTTAAAGAACTAGCAGGAGGCACAGTTGAGGCACTTTGTTTTTCATCTTTAGATTATAGTGAAATTTCTAATGTTTCTTTCAAATAATTTATATGTGCATAAAAAAAAAACAATTTCAGTCCTAAGGGCATGTGGTAGTTTTATGAGTGTTTTGGTGCTGGAGGGGCTGTCATTCTTTTTCATCTTCATGTGACCTGATTAATTAATTAGCAGCAATGCTCCCAAGTGAAGTGCATACAGGATATAGCTCTAAAATAGATTAAAGGAAGATGGTTAGTTTCTACCTGTCTTTTTGTTTTGAGTTTACCTGGTACCAAAGATTCACTTTTTCCATTTCTGTTTTCAGTGAGATGGTGGATGAAAGGCAGTTGCTTGTATTGTTCCCCCCCCCCCCAATCAGATTACTATCTATACAGTGTTGCAAATTCTTTAAGGGGAAAAAAAGCATAGATAGCTTCCTTCTTACTTTTTTGTAGGTTTTTTAAATGTATTAACTTCTTTTACTTTTTCTGTTTTCTGTAAAACTTGTCGAAATAACATTTGTTTTAATAAATAAGAAAAATAATGTCAATTAAATCAGACTTCTGATTAAATGTCTATAAGATTGTGCTGCTCATATTTTTAGTAGCTGTTCATGGGTCTTGTATTAGTACTTTTATTTTTGTAACTTTTTCATTTGTACAAAAATGAAAATAAGAATATCTCATGAAGTATCTAATAGTTGTCATTGATAGCAATTCTCTGAATACCTGGAAAGCTGTTGTATCCCAGGTTAGGCAATACTGAGATAGATGTAAGGGTGATTCATTATTATTTGATACAATATCACATGACATCTCATATAGAAGCCACAGTTCATAATATCCATAGGTTAGGTCATTTGGCTTAATAGCAATAGCAGTTATATACCGCTTCATAGGGCTTTCAGCCCTCTCTAAGCGGTTTACAGAGTCAGCATATTGCTCCCAACAACAATCCGGGTCCTCATTTTACCCANGTCGAGCGCGCTTTAGTCTACCGCGGTTTTGTGGTGGAACCGGATTGGTCTCCCGGAATACCACCTATCAGTTGTTCCAGACTGCAGGGATCACAGCTCATTGCAGCCACCTATCACCCCCTTCGTGTGCCCAATTTCCGGCCTCTGTGAGTAACTTTTCGGCCTCTGCGCATCCCATTTTCAGCCCATCCCACCTATCCCCACCACCTGGAATGGGCCAAAAATGGGATGTATGGCGGCTGAAAATGGGATGCGCGGAGGCAGTGATGGTGGTGATTCCCGCAGCCTGGAAAAGCTGATAGGTTGTATTCCGGGAGGCCAATCCAACCGCCAATCAGCTGCTCATGCTAAATCAGGCTGTGCTGAAGCTGACCAGGCTGTTTGCTGCAAGGAGGCAAATTGCTGGGAAGCAGAGGCCGAAGGTTATTAGCAACTGAGGAAGTGAGATTTCTAAATAAGCACTGTTTTATCTTAAGAAGCATGAACGACTTATTACAGGAGGGACTGCCTCCACATGTATTAAAGGAATGTCAGAATTTTGAACTTGTTTATGAGCAAAACAGAAATTGTTGCTACAAGTGTCTCTCCTTAGAGTAGCTATAGAAAACATGTGAGCCAGACTTCATTGACAGGAATTCAAGTGGTAATCAGTCATATCTGAAGGCATAGCATCCAGGAATCCATTGCTGCCTCCACTGAGGATCCTTGAAACATATATATTCTTTTAATATGCGTTCACCCATTATTGATTGCATTAATAAGTAGCCCTAATAAATAAATAAAAAGCACTTAGTTTATTTCTGAACACCAGAACTGAGTGCTTGCTAGTAGAGAGCCAAAATGGAAGCTGCTTTGCACAATAATGTGTGCTAGTGAGCTTCAAAGCCTTGACTAGATTAGATTATTTATTGCATTTGTATTCTGTATTTCTTCTTGAAGCTCAAGGTGGTCTAGTAGAGAAGGAGGATATTCTTTTATTTTATGGTCACATCAGCAAACCTGTGAGGAAAATCAGGATGAGAAGAGACTGTCCTAAAAAGTTCTGTAGGGAACTGGCGAACATAAATGTGAGTTTTCTTAGTTCTACAACAAACAATCAGTACAATACTTAGACTCTGCTGCTTTCCGAAGGCCTATCTTCCAGTGCTTGAAAATGTCCATTGAAAACAACAGCTCTGTTCCCCTTCTACGCAACTTTCTACCTTCGTTATTGGAAATGTGACTGGATGACATGCGATGGGCCCAGCACTACAGCATGAAGCCTCAGCCATTGTGGCCCAGCAGCAGGGTTCAAAGCCCCAGTTTTCCTCATTGCCCTGTACTCAAGGCATCTGTAGCTTTGTGCTTCCCTACTCCATCACGCTATCAGATCTTCTCCATCTTCTGGTGTCCACCGTTACTTAGGCCTGCCTAGTAAGACCCTTCATGGGGCAACCTGCTGGCCACACGTAATTCTGTAATATTATGAGGAAATCACCCCATGTGATCTTGAAAAGAAGACCTCATGCAGCCAGTAGTTGCTTGTGAAGAGCCAGTCTGAGTATGCTTGATCAGCGAGAACAAAAAGACAGCAAAGGGGATTAAGCAGCAGAGTTTAGGGCAACAGAGACTATGAAATGAAGGGCCCCAAAATAGCAGAGGTGGGGAGATAGGTAGGTAGAGAGAGTTGTAGCAACCTTGCAGTCATAAGTGAGAGCAAGCTTCCAAGTGTCAAAATTTTGATTACATGAGCTCAGAGGCACTGTAGCAGCTGTAATTTTGGGGATTGGACATAAGGTACTATTTGTTTACCTTCGCTGTAATTTGAAACAGTCAATGAAAAATTGGTTTGCAACTGGAAGGCTATCGGTACAGTCCACCCAATAATCTCAGATAAGTTGCTAAGGGTATACAGTGTTTTCTAACTGGTAATTGAGGAAATATTGAGCCAAAGATAACACATTTTATCTGAGTTAATCAATCTCTATTTGATCTTTATTGCAGAACATGAAAATGGAGATTTAAAGTGGTTAGATTTGCAGTATTCTTTACAATCTGTGGTATGATCTTGTTCTCCTACTTGAGCTTCCATACCTGATGTCTTCAGTTTCCAATCAGGACCAATTCCATCATGCAGAAACTTCATTTCTCTTTCCTAACTCATGCCTCCTGGAAACAGCTTTCTAACCTTTCCATTTTTATTCCAGGTTAAATTTTCTTGGCCTTAAAATCAAAACAGTAGCTATAGAATGATAGCTATAGTGAAATGGCATCTTCAGGTGAAACAAGGTTTTTTTGGGAGTATGGGAATTTGCTTTTCGGTACCAAAATACTTCAGGAAAAATAGGATTTAAGATCCTCCACTATTTCTGAACAAGGCTGAGAAAAACGATTACTGTATATAGCAATTTATATTCAGGATGTAAATCATCCTGCTTTCTGCATTTGCAACATAGAGAGTGCACAAAGCTTTAGTCTCTCTGTAAGTGTAAT